TGATTCCATGTATATATATATGTCATACAATCAATGAATATACAGATGTTATAGTATACCAGGGAGCTTGTCTACAAAGTTATTACACTGAAGCAGAAAAGATAGGACACTTACCCGTATCCTAGGCTCACTTGTGAAACTCCAGCAGAGTGGATCTCCAGAAGAGATCCTTCCCCACTGGTAGTCAGCTCTTAGATGGGTCTAGGAGAGGTGAAGCCAGACTCCACCCCTTCTGGCAGCACAGGTGAATTGCCTTCACCTATGCTCCTGTGGCTGACTCATATCTCACCTCAGGTGATCAATCAGAGGTTCAGGCCATGATTCAGCAGTTCCCATACACTCCACCCCTTCACGGTGTGAACCAATGATCAGGTTGACTAAAGGGTAAGCTTTACCTAATACAGAGATCTGATATATCGCGATTCTTATACAGTTTTCATCTCAACGCATGTTGGTACAATTCAAGATGAGTGACTATCAGTGGATGTTCATATTCTTTTATGGGCTAGTACTCAATGATGTTACTGGAGGCATGTGGTCGTGAGGTGCAGGTTCGTCCTATGTTCCATCAATCTCGTGTAGACCATCACCGGGTGTTGCACATGATCTGACAGTAACACTGGAACGCTTTGATGACATTTTGTTCCTTCCGGTGATCCTGAAAGCTCAAGGAACTAATACAGATGTTTCAAAGGTACCAGGAGGGGAAGGTCTGCTTTCCAGGGCAGGACACAGGCTGCATTTCTATCCTGGGTCTAATCTGGGTCAACGTCGGCTTATACTGGGGCATGTCCAGGTCTGCTTGTACCACACCTGGGTGGATGTCTGCGGCTGCATAATAATATCAGGCACCAAAGGAAGTGTACTGATCTGCCATAGGGACATGATGGGGGTCTCTTTAGCAATGAAGATTGGAGTGTTAAACACAATAATCAGTAGGCCATGTACCTATTGCTGGAGGGACTACCAAGCCTCCCATATCCAATAATCTCCCCCAGGGTGCAAGTAAGCCACACCACTTCAGTCCTACCTGCACCTTCCAAGGCCATTTTATTCTATGGGTACCTGGATCTAAATTCTCAGGGGCAGGGAGCAGAAGATTATTTTCATTACCAATCTGGGGTCTTACCTGATTATCAGTACCCGTAATTTGGATCCTAAGGAGGGTAGCTCATGTTGTCTGCAACGTTCTCAGGGCACTGGGTATGCCATCTCGGGGTCTTTCATTCAGATCCCACAAGGTTTCATAGAGACTTTTTATTCACCCCTGCAGGGACTGGGAGTCTGTCTTCAGGGCTGCCTTAAGAATACCGTTATAATGTTCAATGAGGCCTACCCCCATTGGATTATATGGCAGGTGGAATCGCCATTCGATGTTATTTTCTTCTGTCCAGCATACTGTCTTCTGTATCATTGTGCCAGTAAAATGAATCCCTTGTTCACTCTCAATGACTTGAGGTGCCCCATAGGCAGACATCAGTTTAGTGAGCTGCTTTGATGGTATATGCCTGGTTTGCTTGAAAACAGATAAGTCAACATGAAAAAGTTATCAATATTCATCTCAGGTTTTATTTTATTGTAAGTAAGTAAAAACCGGAGAAGAAAAACCTTACTTTTTAAAAATTCCTTTTAAATAGGTTTCAAAAAAAAATAGAACTAAAGAGGCTAAATCTTAGACTTTTTTACATGTAATTCATAATAGCAATGCATGAGTTTCTATTTCAGAAAAAGAAATTTGAAGTATGGTATAGATTAAAACACTGCAGTAGGATTTGGTTCAAGATGGTAAAAAAACCAGTCCTCTCTACAACAGCTGATTTTGCTTAAGAACGTAAGAATCGTTATTTTTCTTTGCAATAGAAGCATGTAAAATTGATTCAAAGTACTAGTAGTAAGCCAACAGAGCCCATAAATGATCAGAACATGCAACCACTTTCCATGGCAATTTTTTGTCACTAAACTTGTGGGTTGACAAGTTGTGGTTTAAATCTAGTAGGCAGTTCAGTCACAGTCACTCCCCACAATGCGGTATTGGGCTGAGAATCAGAAAGGTAAAAGTGTGAGAACACATGAGTTGAGAGACTCTATAGGATAAAACAAAAGCTGGATGCACAAGCAAAGCAAAAGAGGAGATTCATTCACTGTCTCCCATCAGCAGACAGATGTTCAGCCACTTCTGAGAAAGCAGGATTTGTCATACGTAAAGGCTTATTGGGAAGACAAATGCCACAACACCAAATATCCCCGCCTTCCTCCTTTACCCAAGATTTTATTGCTGAGTATGAAGGTATGAATATCCCCTGGATAAGTTGGGTCAGCTGTGCTGGTTCTGTCCTCTTTCTTGTGCATCCCTAGCCTCCTCACTGGCACAGCATTTTGTGTAGCTTGGCTTTGTGTAAACAGTGCTCAGCAACAACTAAAACACTGCTGTGTTATCAACACTGTTTTCACTAAAAATCCAAAACACAGCATCATGGAAGCCTCTACAAAGAAATTAATCTATCCCAGCCAAAATCATAACACAAGTATTTTTTTAAAACAGTGTTAACATACCATACAGTGCTTGAGTAAACAAAACTATACTGCAAGGAGATTTTTGTTGTTCCAGTTTTAGATGATGGCCCAAAATGCAAGCATTCATGAAACGTTTTCTAGTTATTCAAAAGAAGGCAAACTTGTGAGTGCTGCATCTCACATGCTTGCTTTCTAGAAGCACAATAACCTACCCTTTCACATCAGATACCATTACCATTGGGTAGGAGGATGAAATCATAACAAAGAGATGTGAGAACTCCAGTCAGTGAAACAACTGACTACTTGTTCTTCCAAGATAAAACTCTGCAAAAGCTGTTCAACCAATTGTTGCTGCACTCTTGGTTGGAACTGATCTGATCTCCAGCTAGAGCTCACATACCTTTTGTATCATTTTAACTTGGAGAATTTCAAGGCTGAGGAATGCAGGACAGAAATCTCCCACTGGTTTTGCCACTTGGACTATGCATGTTTGTATTTCACAAACTATTGGTGAAAGAACACTTGATACACAAAGCTTAAGCTCACTGCAAATGTCCTGACCTTGCCCACGTTAAATAGAATATACTTATACTGGAGCCTACACCAAATTTTATTGAAAATTATTTGGAAAATTCGTTAGTTCAAACATGCAATTAAATAGGCATTGCTTTTTTGTTGTTATTGTTTTGGTTTGGTTTGGGTTTGGTTTGGTTTCTTTGTAATAGTGTGTGTGCCTATAAGTATTTTCATGAGAACTACATTTATCTAATGGCTTGCTCTGACCAAGAAAGAAACCAAAACATTGCAAAAATATGCCAGTAGCAAAAAGATGTTTGGTAGAAATTCAGAAACAAGGATATATCCAGGTTCTGAGTACATGCAGTTTAAACTCTGGTGTTCCTTTTACCTTTTGTTCCTGCCTTTGTCTCTGTTCTCTCCTCAGTTCCAGCTATTTTTATCACTGTGCTCACTGCCAAAAAGGTTTCTCCATTTAGAAACCAACATGCATCTTTCTGACCCTTTTCCACAGTCTTTGCTTTGATAAGGAACAAGAGAGAACTGTTGGCTCAGTGTCAATAGCAGACTTTAAAGTCATCAACTATGGGAAATAACAAAGGATGCAAGCCTTCTTTGACTGGAAACAATCACCTCTTTAACATTCATGTTTCCTGTTCCAGTTCAGAAACCAGAAGTCTGCACCAACCTCATATTCAAGTCTTGCACTTAATTAGAACAAAATGGCATATAGCAAGATGCTTTAGGGCTTCTAAATGACTGATTTACAAAAAAATAAACTATGATATATCAATAATAATAATAATAATAATTGAAAATTAAGCTCTGGGCTTATTCAATTGCTGCATATCTTCAAATCAGTTCCCAGCACTTCATATAAGATAACAGGAAACAAGAAATAAGATTTCCCCAAGAATATGCTCTTGGAATATGCTCTTGTTATTATCATGCACTGTGTAGATCACAGCAAGTAATACTGACATTAATTTTACATACAATTAATGACAGTAATTTTTTTATACTTAAAATAGTATTTAAAAATCCAAACTTTGTTTTACTATTTATATGTGCATAAAATTAAAAATATCTTCTGACTTTTCTCCTACTATCTTTCTGTAGAAAAATAATAATGACCATATGTACTTCCTGTTTTCAAATGGAAAAAGTGTCTTCTTGAATATTTGAAAGTCAAGAAGTGCAAGTTCTTCATTCACTGAAAAGATATTTTTGAAAACGAGATAACATCACTGCAGCTTCTTTCAAATTTTTACTTACATTATTATAAAAATACAGTTTGCTTTCTACTTGCATCATGTCTTCAAGGCGTTCTTCTTTTACTGTCATATTACCATAGCGTGGTTTTAGAATAGAATGAAGATGTATCTTTCTGTTCTTTCTGCACAACCCAACAGAGTTAGGACTGTTTGGACAGACAGAAGGAGAAACTGAAAGAATATATATAAACGAATAATTGATCTCAGTTCTTTTCAACTCCTTGACAATTGGCAGAGTGGAGCGTTTCAGGCAAAAACAGACAACTATGTACCTGCAAGGGCAAATCAATTCACGTAAACGCAACCTCATAATTAGGCTTCATCACTGCCCAGTGTGTCAAAAAGCATAAATTAGCAAGCTAGAAAAAATTAAAGCTAGCTTAAATATCATAAACTTTAAAGAAGTATGAAAGCAAAGGAAGAAAATAATGCTTCTTTTTATTTACTTTTTGTTTTGAATCTTTAGGGTGGACCAAGGTCAAATTTCAAATTTTTCTTTAATTAGGAATGAATAAACCTTATGTTTCCTTGAACTCTGAAAGAAAAATGTACTCTTTATGTAATTCTATTTGATATCTGTACTCAGAACAAGTATTTGAAATAAACATTGAACTATCACCATCTTATGACAAAGCAAGAACTGGCCATATCCCTGAACTGCCACTAGAGAGAAGAAAGTGAATTGACAGTATATAGTTCTATTCAAAACAAAACAGACACAGGACTTTTATTTTTTTGAGTGTACAGCTGAGCCAGTTCTGCTGCACAGGTTCCGAGATCTGTAGAAAGATACATATTCATATTAATGCAATAAATAGTGAATATTTTGTAATAACAAAACAGATTAGTGAAAAGATGACAGAGTTGACAGTAAGATGAACAGTATTGAAGGGTGTTTGGTATTTCTTCTCCCACTATTTAACTTTTTAAACTCAATTACATGTAGATTGGTTTTCAGTGGGAATGAAGTGTCCATTTCCACTGATTTTCAATGAAATTTTGAGTCTCTAATTCCTACATTCTACTCTGAAGATCCCTTACACAGTCTATTTGGAGTGTATATCTTTCCATCTACAACAAACTCAAAGTTAACCATACGTTAAACATATGTTGGTTGTGCACGTTCCAGCTCACTTTATCAAATAAGGATGAAAAGTAAATAATTATAGAAGCTGTAGGAGCAGGGATGAAAAACACATGGTAAAATTTAGCTTAACCACAGCAGTTTTGTATTCAGTATAAAAGGAAATGCACATTTTTACCTGAGAAAGAAGTATTTGACAGTAATGCAAAAAAATGAAAGAAATAACACAAAAACTTCTAGTTTATGCTAGAATTTCTCCTCACTGATGTATTTCTGCAACATTTCCACCACTAGTGAACTACAGTTTGAAGAACTGAGAGTTTCTTTGGTTGATTTTCCACTCATTCCTCTTAGAGTAAACCATCCTTTCAACATCATCATGGAGAAATGTCTCTTGAATTTCTTGAACGTCTCTTGAATATTTGTATTGAAGAGAAAAATATATTTCTTTTTCCTGTTTTGTTTATGTTTTTGTTTGTTTGTTTGATCTTTTAGTTTTCTCATTAAGGGAAGTCCCCTCTGTGAAAAGCATCAGCAGTGGGCTAAAGTTCAATTTAAGAAAAATCTTTGGAGCATTTAATTTAATCCACAGACACACAGAATAAGTAATTTTTATGATGTAAGGAGGTTGAATGTCTGAACTGGCTTTTCATGTTAGAAAGCTGAATTCAAATCTAGTCGTGGATGATCCATCCCTGTAGGTGTCAAAGGCCAGGTTGGACAGAGCCCTGGGAAAATGATCTAGTGCCTGATTTAGTGGTTGGCAAGTCTGCCCACAGCATGGGGCTTGGAACCGGTGATCTTTAAGGCCACTTTCAACCCAAGACATTCTATGTAACAAAAAAAAAAAAATAAAAAATAAAATAAAATAAAAAATAAAAAAATCATAATTTAGTTAAAAATACATTTTGGCAATTTTAATTTCCAAGAAAGTATCAGAATGGCAATCATTACAGAAATATATATACATATATAAGGTTAAAATCATCATCATTAATTTAAGCTATTGTCTCCTTACTTTCTTTAATAGCAAAATTTTCCCATCCCCAAAACCAATGGAAACTGGGTGCATAAAAAATCCCCAAATCTTTCCGTGTCTATAGCAGTCCTTCATCTGCTTGTGGAAACAGACATCTTCTCTAGTGAACCATTTACTATGGTGTTAAGCACATACTGGGATGTATTTTAGAAGCAGTTCTGTTCAAGGACTGTGTTTCACTTCCTTAAACAATTGTGTTATGAGTCAGAGTTCTAATGAAGACAAGTTGTTATGTCTCTATGCATCTGCCCTGGGAGAGAGATACAGCCACAAAGACAGAAAATTTGGACAGCCTTGCATTGTTTATCAGGCACAGAAGGTCAGGAGATAAATGGTAAGAAACCACAGGATAGTTTGGTATGTTTCTTATAATGATTTTGTTGTCTCAAATGAACCTTGGAAGTCCATGAAAGTTGGATACTGAGAAGCTTATTAAGAGTAAGAGAGGGAAGAAAGCATACAAACTAGATAAAAAGATATTATGGAACCGTAGAACCATAGAATCATTTGAGTTGGAAGAGACCCTTAAAGGTCATCTAGTCCACCTCCCCTGCAATTAACAGGGAAACCTACAGCTCAATTAGGTTGCTCAGAGCCCTGTCCAGCCTGACTTTGAATGTCTCCAGGGATGGGCCATCAGCCATCTCTCTGGGCAGCCTGTTCCAGTGCCTCATCACCCTCACTATAACACATTTTTTCCTTATATTCAGCCTAAATCTACCCTCTTTAGGCTTGAAATTCTCTCCTCTTGCCCTGTCACAACAGACCTTGCTGAACAGTCTGACCCCTTCCTTGTTATAGCCCCCTGTCAGATAATGAAAGACACTCTCAGGTGTCCCCAGAGCTTTCTCTTCTCCAGGCTGAACAGCCCCAGCTCTCTCAGCCTCTCCATGCAGGAGAGGTGTTTCATTCCTTGGATCATTTTTGTGGCCCTCCTCTGCACATATTCCAACAGGTCTATTTCTCCTCCTGTACTGAGGCCTCCACATCTGGACACAGTACTCCAGGTGAGACTTCACCAGCAGAGAGCAGAGGGTCAGAATGACCTCCCTCCATGTGTTGGCCACGCTTTTTTTGATGCAGACCAGGATACAGTTGGCTTTCTGGGATGTGAGGGCAAGTTGCAGGCTCATGTCCAGCTTCCCATCCACCAGTACCCCCAGGTCTTTTTCAGCAGGACTGTACTCAATCTTTTCATCCTTCAGCCTGTATTGATAATGAGGATTGCCTCAACCGAAGAGCAAGACCTTGCATTTGGATTTGTTAAACCTCATGTGGTCCACCTGGACGTACCTCTTAAGCCTGTTTAAGTCTGTTTGGATGGCATCCTGTCCGTCTTGTGTGTTGACTGCTCCCCACAACTTGCTAAGGATGCACTCGATCCCACTGTCAATCTAATTGATGAAGATATTAAAGAGTATTGGTGCCAGCACTGACCATCATGGGACACCACTCATCACTGATCTCTATCCAAACACTGAGAGTTGACCACCACCCTCTGGACTTGATCCTGCAGCCAGATCTTCATCCATTGAATAATGGAATCATAGAATCACCAAGGTTGGAAAAGACCTCTAGGATTATCCAACCCAACCACCCACCTACAACCAATATTTCCCTCTAAACCATGTCCCTCAGTACTGCATCTAAATGTTTCCTGAACAAATCCAGGTACAGTTACTCTCAGGACACTAGTAGGGCATGCCAGTGCCTGATCACTCTCTCATATAAGTATTTCCTAACTTCTAATCTGAATCTCACCTGGTGCAATTTGAAGCCATTCCCTCTCATCCTATTGCTAGTTAAATGGGAGAAGACGCTCTCCCCCACCTCACCTTAACCTCCCTTCAGGTAGTTGTAGAGAGTGATAAGGTATCCTCTGAGTCTCCTATTCTCCAGAATAAATATTCCCAGTTCTCTCAACTGCTCCTCATAAGGCTTGTTCTCTAGACTACTCACCATCTTCGTTGCCCTTCTCTGGACATGCTCCAGGGCCTCAATGTCTTTCTTATAGTGAGGGGATCAAAAGTGAACACAGTACTCGAGGTGCAGCCTCACAAGAGCTGAGTACAGAGGGATGACCATTTCCCTGCTTCTGCTGCAATGCTATTTCTGATACAAGCCAGAATGCCATTGGCCTTTTTGGCCACCTGGGCACTCTGTTGGCTCATATTCAGCTGAATGTCAATCGATATCCCAAGGTCCACTTCCGCTACACAATCTTTCAGCCAATCTGCTATAGCACTGCCTGGAGTTGTTATGGCCAAAGTGCAGGACCTGCTCTTGGTCTTGTTGAACTTCATCCCATTGGCCTCAATCCAGCTATCCTGCTTGTCCAGATAGCTCTGTAGGGCCTTCCTATCCCCAGGCAGATTGACAGTTCCTCCCAAATTGATGTCATCTGCAAACTTACTGAGGCCACACTCAATGCCCTCATCCGGATCATCAGTAAAGACACTGAACAGGACAGGCCCCAGAACCGCTCCTGACCAGTCACCAGCTGGATGTGACTCCATTTATCACCACCCTCTGGGTTTGGCCATCTGGCCAGTTCTTTACTCATCAAAGAGTGTACCTGTCCAAGCCACAGGCTGCCAGCTGCTCCAGTACAATACTATGGGCAACAGTGTCGAAGTCTTTGCTAAAGTCTAGGTAGACTACACCAACAGCCTTTCTATCATCCATCAAACAGGTCACTCAATCATAGAAGGAGATCAAGTTGGTCAAGCAGGACCTGCCTTTCATGGATTCACGCTGGCTAGGCCTGATCCCCAGGTTGTTCCACACATGCCATGTGATGTCTGTCAAGATGATCTTCTCCATAGCCTTACCTGGCACCAAGGCCAGGCTGACCGGCCTGTGGTTCTCTGGATCCTCCCTATGATTTTTCTTGCAGATGGGAGTCGCACTGGCAAGCCAACAATCCTCTGAAGCCTTTCTGGTTGACCAGAAATGATGGTAGATGATGGAAAAAGGCTTGGCTATCACCTCTGCCAGCTCCCTCAGCATCTTTGGGTGTATCCCATCTAGTCCCATGGACTTATGGCAGTCTAGGTGGAGTAGTAGGTCTCTACTGTTTCCATTTCAGTAGCAGGGGTTTCTTTTGTTTCCCATCTGAGACTTGCAGGTCAGGGAGTACAGTATCCTGAGGATTACTGGTCTGAGTTGTAAAGACAGATGTAAAGAAGGCATTGGGAATCTCAGCCTTTTCCTTTTTCTCAGTGGTCATGTTCCCCACCACATCCAGTAAAGGAGGGAGATTCTCCTGAGCTCTCCTTTTACTGTTAACACATTTGTAAAGAAGTTTTTTGTTCTCCTTTACCCCAACAGCAAATTGAGTTCAAGCTGGGCCTTTCTAATGTCCTCCCTGCACATTCCTAACAACTTATCTGTACTCTTCTCGAGTTGCCCATCCTTCTTCAACAGAATGTAGATTCTTTTTTTTCTTCTGGAGCCTCAGGAAAACCTCCCTGTTCACTCACACATGTCCCCACAAGCTCATATTGCAGCTCAGGAGGATATCTTGCTCCTGCACCTTTAAGAGTTCCTTCTTGAGGAGCGATCACTTTTCCTGGACCCCCTTACCTTTCAAGACTGAATCCCAAAGGACTCTCCTAACCAGTGTCCTGAGCAGTTCAATGTCTGCCCTCTGGAAATGCAGGGTAGTAGTTTTGCTACCGCCCTCCCCCCCACTCCTGAGTCCATCTGAATCAATAGCTCTACCATTCTGTGATCACTCTATCCATGATAGCTCCCAACCATCACATCTCCCACCAGTCCTTCCCTGTTTGTGAAAAGCAAGTCTAGTGGAGTACCTTCCTCAGTAGGCTCTCTTACCAGCTTCATCAGGAAGTTATCTTCACACACTCTAGAAACCTCCTATACTGCCTCTTCTGTGCTACACTGTATTCCCAACATATATCAATCAGTGAAGTCCCAGTTCCCCATGACAGCAAGGGCTGGTGATAGCACAATTTCTACTAGCTGTTCGTAAAAATCTTCATCTGTCTCTTCATTCTGGTTAGGTGGACTATAACAGATCCCCACCAGGATGTCTGCCTTGTTGGCCCTCCTCCTGATCCATATCCATAGACATTCAACCTCTTCATTCCCAGCTCCAAGCACAACAACATCAAAACACTCTCTTAGCCTTGCCACTAGCCCTCCTTCCTTGCCCTTCTGAAAAGGCCCTGGAAGGTGTCCAGAGAAGGGCAACAAAACTGGTGAGGGATCTGGAGCACAAGTCTTATGAGGAATGGCTGAGGGAGCTCGGATTGTTTAGTATGGAGAAGAGGAGGCTCAGGGGAGACCTCATTGCACTCTACAACTTCCTGAAGGGAGGTTGTGATGAGGAGACGTTTGGCCTCTTCTCCCAGGCAACAAACAGGACCCAAGGAAATAGCCACAACTTGTACCATAGGAGGTTTAGATTAGACATAAGGAAAAACTTTTTCTCTCAGAGGGTGGTCAGGCACTGGAATGGCCTGCCCAGGGAGGTGATGGAGTCACCATCCCTGGCAGTGTTGAAGTGGCATCTGGATGAGGAGCTATGAGATATGGTTTAGTAACTTGTGGTAGCAGTGGTACTGGGAGGATGGGAACCTACATGATCTTGAAGGTTCTTTCCAACCTTGTGATTCTATGATTCTATGTTTCTAAGAGCTTATCTCAAACCATTCTTAGTGGGAGCAATCTCATCATATTTCTGGAATGGCAACAAAGTCACAGTTTGCCTATTGCACAATGGCTTCCAGATCCTCTTGTTTGTTCCCTTGTTGTGTGTATTGCTGTAGATGCACTACCTTTGCTTCACCCCCAATCCCATTATAGTTCCCCTCTGCTCATCTCTAACAGGCCTGGTTTTATCCCCTTCCTCCTTCATGTCTAGTTTAAAGCCCTTTGAACAAGCCCTGCTAGGTCCTGGGCTAGGGTCCATTTCCCAGTTTGAGGCAGGTGAGACCCATCAGCAGACATCAGGCCCAGTATCAAGTAAACTGTCCCATGATTTAAAAAAAAAAAAAAAACAACAAACAAAATTCTTGCGATTGCACCAGTCTTTCAGCCACATATTTTTGACATGGGTTTTCCTGCTCTTCTCAGTATCCCTCCCTGCCACTGAAAGGATAGAGGAAAATACGACCTCTACACCCGCTCTGTCCACTAGCTGCCCCATCTCCCTGAAATCCTTTCTGATAATTGTCAGGCTTCTCTCAGCAACTTCATTGCTGCCAGCCTGTACTATCAATAAAGGATAATAACCAGAGGGGTGAATCAGACTAGGAAGTTTCCTAGAAATATCCGTGACACAGGCCCCAGGGAAACAGAACACTTCCCTTCATGCCAGGCTGGGCTGACACACAGGGACCTCCTTTCCTCTCAGCAGGGAGTGACCTACAACAATCACCCTTTTGTCCTTGGCAGAAGTGGTCTTGAGGTATGGAATCAACCGCCTCGTTCTAGACAACCTCATAGGTGGACTTCCGACCACATCCCCAATCACCTCTCAAGCTTTGAGGGCCTCAGACCTATTACACAGAGGCACCTGAGGAACCAAGGTAGGTTGGGATGAGGGTTGCCTGTGACGCTGAGCTGGGACCTGTTTCGATTCCTCCTCTTCCCTTAAATCGCTTCCCTCTGCTCAACAATGGCATGGAGGGAGTCCTCCACCCTTTGGGAAGTATCACGTTGGCGTCTTCCTTGCAAGTTTGGAAGAGTTACTCTCCCAATCTATCTCCTGCTTGCACTCTCTGATACTCTTCTGATACCTCCTTGAGCTCCACCACCACACTGAGTAGATCATCCACCTGCTCACACCTCACACAGGTGGAATCCCTGCTGCCCTTCACCAGCAGCAACAGGCTCAAGCACTTACCGCAGCCAGATACTTGAACTGCCACATTTTTAGGCAGGTGTTCCATCTGAGTCTCAACATTCTTTCTTGCCAGAGCTTTCTACCTGGTGGAGACCATGGCTAGATTTATTGTCTGGGAAGCAGCTGGTAGTTACATCGGTCTCCTGAGTAGACAGAGATACTCTGCTCTCCTTGCCCTCCCTGTTCCCTCGTCCTGTATGAACTGCCCACGCAAACTTCTGCACCGCCCTTTCATTGCTTCTCACTCTGTTTGCCTGTCCTGTTCACTCCATCCCCTACTGGCAAGTTTCATACCCACAGGGAGTGATCCTGCCACTGCTGGCTCCACCCCTGTGATGTCAGAATGCTACTACCACGCGGAGGACAATAACAGCCGGCAGATGCTGGAAGAGCTGCTGCTTTACCTGCTCAGGCAAGTTCCTGCTTCGGTATGGAATGCACCCACTCGAGGGCCGAGTACCTCACCCAAAACTGAACTGTCCAACCATAAAATCCATATCTTTCCAATTTGGACTGAACAATGTAGTAGGATACTGTGTCAGAGGCCTTACTGAAGTCCAGATAGCTCTTCGGTTATCCAGTGGCACCATCATAAAAGGCCATTAGGTTGGTCAAGCAGGATTTGCCCTTGGTGAGGCCATGCTGGTTCTCCCATATCACCTCCCTGCCTTCCATGTGCCTAAGCATACCAACCATGATGATCTGCTCTATTATCTTTCCTGGTACAGAGGTTAGACTGACAGGTCAGTAGTTCCCAGGGTCATCCTTTTTAGCCTTCTTAAAAATGTGTGATGTTGCCTTTTTCCCTGTCACCAGGGACTTCACCTGATTACCACTACAAATATCAGTGATATTTGAAAAAAAATATTACTGAGAGTGGCTTGGCAGCTACATCAGCCAATTCCTTCAAGATTCTGGGATGCATCTCACAGGGACCCATGGACTTGTGGATGTGCAGGTTCATAAGGTAGTCACAAAACTGATCTTCGCATACAGTGGGAGGAACATTGCTTCCCAATCCCTTCCTACCAAACCAAATATTTCAGGATTGTGTGACTAGCAGTTATCAGAGAAGACCAAGGCAAAAGACTCAGCCTTCTCCTTTTCTGTGACACAGCTTGTCTGTGTCACTCACTGCAGGTGGTATGACCTCCTGGACTTTCCTCTTCTGGTTCAGGTTACCTTTAGAAACCTTTTTTGTTCTTTTTGGCATCCTTTGACCAAGTTTAGGTCAAATTTAATTCAATCTGGGCCTTGGCTTTCCTGACACCAACCACACATAGCCTTATATTTTTCCCACAGTACCTGTCTCTGTTTCTACTGCCTGTGAATTTTCTTCTTCCTCTTCAGTTTGACCATCAGGTCCTGGTTCAGCCATGCCAATCTCTTGTCTTCCTTTCCTGACTGGCTCCACCTGGGGATGGAGAGCTCATGCATCCTCCTTAAAGATCTTCCAGTTCTGTTCTCCTCCCTTGCCCATGTGGACACTTTCTCAGGTTGTTTAGTTGACTAACTCCCTGATGAACTGGAAGGTATTTTTCCTAAAAATTTAGCTTTCTAATTTTACTCTTTGCCTTCTTCATATCCCTCCAGACTATGAACTCAACTGTAGCATGGTCACAACAGCCCTGGCAGCCTCCAATTCTGATGTCACCAATCAGTTCATTTGCATTGGTGAGCAACAGGTCCAGTATTGCATGTCCTTTTATTACTTGAGAGAAAGTGGGTGTATCATGGAGAATAAACCATCACTTAAGGAAGAAACAAAGTCACATAAATCATAAAATCATAGAATTTGCTTGGGTTGAAAGGGACCTCAAGGATCATCAAGCTCCAAACCCATTGCCATAGGCAGGGCTGCCAACCTCCATATATATAATTCTAGATCAGGCTGCCCAGGGCCCCATCCAACCTGGCCTTGAACATCTCCAGGGATGAGGCATTGACAGCCTATCTGGGCAGCCTGTTGCAGCACCTCACCACTCTCTTGATAAAGAACTTCCCCTTGATATCCAACCTCTTCCCTCTTTCAACTTAAAATCATTTCCCCTCATCCCGCCATTACCTACCTTTGTAAAGAGTTGACTCCTCTCCTGTTTGTAGGCTCCCTTTAGGTACTGAAAGACTGCAATGAGGTCACCCCGCAGCCTTCTCTTCTTCAGGCTGAACAAGCCCAGCTTCCTCAGCCTGTCTTTGTAGGGGCGGTGCTCCAGACCTCTGATCATTTTTGTGACCTTCCTCTGGATCCCCTCTGACAGCCCCCTGTCTTTCTTGTATTGGGGGCCCCAGACCTGGATGCAGTACTCCAGATGGGTCCTCAGGAGGGTAGAGTAGAGAGGGACAATCACCTCCCTGTTCCTGCTGGCCACCCCTCTTCTGATGAAGCCCAGGATACCATTTGCTTTCTGAACTGCAAAAGTACACTGCTGGGTCATATTAAGCTTTTCATCTACCGGGACCCTCAGGTCCTTTTCTGCAGGCCTATTCTCAAGGATTGCTCATCCTTCTGCATATATGCGTCTGGCTTATGTACAAAACCTTGCACTTTTCTGTGTTGAACCTCATTAGATTCACCTGGGCCCACCTTTTATGTCTGTTGAGGTCCCTCTGAATGGAATCTCTTCCTTCTACTATGTCAACCACACCAACACATATCAACAGCAAACTTGCTGAAGGTGCACTCAGTTCCATCATCGATGTCACTGATAAAAATGTTAAGGAGTACCGGTCCCAAGATAGACCCCTGGGGAACACCACTCATTACCGGCCTCCACCCGGACATAGAACTATTCATTGATCACCACCCTCTGTCTGCGGACTTTCAATAGTTCTTTATTGACTGTGTGGTCCACCCATCAAACCCACATCTTTCTGATTTGGAGATAAGGATGTGGTGGGGGACCATGTCAAAGGCCTTGCACAAGTCCAGGTAAATGATATTGTTTGCCTTTGCTTTGTCCACCAGTGCTGTCACCCTGTCATAGAAGGCCACCAGATTGTTTAGTCATGACCTTCCTCTGGTGAAGTCGCGCTAGCTGTCTTGTATCACACACTCATTCCTCAAGTGATCTAGCACGCCATCCAAGAGAATTTTATTTTCCACTGTGTCTCTTTACATTTTCATTTTAAGGATTGACTAATTTTGCACAGATTTTTTACAATAACACTGCATTCAAAATTTTTTTAAACTGAGTGCTCCATTTTCATGAAAAGTGGAAACCTCGGAATGTAGCAATATTAGGGTCATTTTACATTTCACCAAATCATTAACATGGATCTGATTTGTGCCTCTGTAAATATGAAGTTAATGCCTACCTGCCCTTCTTAAAATAACTATCTCTGTAGTGTATGGGCAAAGTTTTGCATTTCAAATGCAATTGCAGTCCCATGAGAGCCAATAAAACAATGAGTTAAACACTGATTTAAATGTAGAATTAGATTACATTACCATTATGGTTTTCATCTTGAAATAAACTCAGAAAGTTTCCGGTCTCATTTATCCTTGCAGAAAATCACAGTGTTTTGCTCTGAAATTAACATTCTGACATGGCAAACAAGAATGTCACATAAACTCTAAGGAAATAAACTTTAAAGTGAAAGAAAAACCATAACTAACCAAGGCAAACTATTTTGTTCATTCAGTAATTACAGTGCTTTTTAAAACTGAACCATTTAAACCACAGTTGCCTTACTCTGTGAAACTAAGGAACTTTTTTAGATAGGCTTTTCTGTCAGTAGAATAGTAGTTCAAAGACTGTGTGCTTATATTGACCTTAGAACACAGGAGATAAAACTCACCTTGTTATACATTACCTTTGCATTAGGTTGCAGAGCACAAACAGTTTAACAATTCCAAATGGGTATAATTTACTTCAGGTTCAAGTATCAGTTTGCTTGTTTTGCTACTGTTAATCACCTCTTAAATAAACAATTGCTTCATCTATGTACTGTGCCTCATTTCACTTTCAAATTATGTCTGTGTTTCACTCCTAACAGCTTATTATGATCTATAATTAACAATTTTCCTGAAAGCAGAGCCTTACATTGAAAAGAGCCCACGTGCTATCTGGGAAATACTTGAAATAGGATGCTTCTGTCTTAATAAAAAACTGAAAGTGAAGTTGTGTATATGCTCTGCTACTATTCTATTATCTTTTCTACTCTCCTTCAATAAATTTATGGATACTCAATATTGAATGGATTCAACATGTTGAATGCAGCATTTTGGAAGGAAGGAAGGAAGGAAGGAAGGAAGGAAGGAAGGAAGGAAGGAAGGAAGGAAAGAAGGAAGGAAGGAAAGAAGGAGGGAGGGAGGGAGGGAGGGAGGGAGGGAGGGAGGAGGAGAGAAGGAGGCAATTTTGTCTATTCTCACAAATGTGTAGTCATTCTTAAGCATGTCTTAGCAGAACCTAAAATTGAAAAATGCCTAAACAAGCAAGGACTGAAGACTGGACAAAAAAAAATGGATGAAACAGGATTTAAAACTGATCAAAAAGGCCTACAAATTCTTAGTAGACTTTGGCAGTTTTGAAAGCCCCTTCCATTCTGCATTTTACTATTGCTGGGCTGTTTGCATGAAGGTGAAGTTACTCTGAGCTTCCATATTATCATATTATCATTCAACCATAGAGTGGCTTGCGATGGAAGAGACCTTAAAGATCTTCCAGTTCCAACCTTTTGTCATAGACAGGGTTGTCAGCCACAAAGTCAGGCTGCCCAAGTCTCCATCCATTCTGGCCTTGTACTTCTCCACGGATGCAGTCTTCCTGCCTTTTCTTATAAATAGGAGTTACGTTTCCCTTTTTCAATTAACTTCCAATGAAGTCAGTACGGACTTCATTTGACAGCAGTGATTTTTCAAAAATAACAAGGAATGGCTTGACAACAACATAAGAAAGTTCCTTCAAGATTCTAGGATGCAAGTCATCAGGCCCCATTGATCTGTACACATTCAGTTCCACCAGTAAATCTGCTCCTAACTTACAGTGGAGAGATTTTTCTTCCTCCAGTCCCACCTAGAGATTCAGAGTCATGATAGATATGGGAAGACTTATTGCCAATGAAGACTGAGACAAATATCTTGTTGAGTAGCATAGCCTTCTCCATGACTCTCTTGAATTTAATACTCCCTTCTAATTTATCGGACACTGTACAATCTCTTTTGCCTGTCTCTCCTGACCAATGTATTTGTAAAACTCCTTTTTGTTATTTTTCACACCCCTTACCAAGTTCTGTTCCACCTGTGCCTTGGCTTTGGGTGGATGCCATCCTTGTATTCTTCTCAAGCAGCCCGTGTCTACTTCCACTGCCTGTACTTTTCCTTCTTTGAAAAAGAAGGTACTTTTAGTAGGTAGTTAGGGAAAAAAGTACTTTTCCTTCTCAGCTTGACCACCGGGTCCTCACTCAGTCATGCTGTTTTTCTACCTCCTCTGCTTGATTTCTTATACTAGGGAATGAAGAGCTCATGTGCTTCAGAAAGGTCTTTAAAAGGGTGACAGCTCCGTTCCATCCCTATGTCCCTAAGGACAGTTTCCCAGGGGATTTCATCCAGTAATTCCTTAAACAGCCTAAAGTTCACTCTCCTGAATCTCAGGAACTTGACTCCATTCTTTGCCAGGTGTGTGTTCCTCAAGATGACAAACTCAGTCAGGACATGTTTGCTACATTTCAGACTGCCTCCAATCTTAATATCTTTAATGAGCCTTGGTGAGCACCATGACCTCACTTCTGGTTGGTCTGTCCATTACCCAGACAAGGAATTTATCCTCAGTGCATTCCAGAACTCCTGGATTGCTTGCAGCCCAGTATGTTGCTTTCACAGCAGACATCTGAGTCATTAAAATCTCCCATGAGGATGAGAACCTGCAAGAGCAACACATTTGCAGGATGGGATTGTAGAATCCAAAAGTTCTGTGAAAATTCCTAATACTTTTCTGAATAGGAACAGCATTTATGGGTGTTGATCTGTATTCACACTTACATATTTTTTAAGTCTGCATGGAAGGGTGAGGCTGAGAGAAACTGACTTCTAACTACATTGATAAGTCTCTGATCCTTTGCTTGCCCTATATGAGAATAACAATCTCAACAGTACTGCCATGCAAACAATTGCAGTTAACATGGGATGCAGTGGGTGCCTTCAGCTTGTACCCTAATCAAAAGAGAGCAACAAGACTATGGAGAAAGCAGTAGTGCTAAAATTATAACATTCCAAGTTACAAATTAATCATCTTCCTCCTCATCTGCATCACAAGGAACTGTTTTTTAAAAATCATACTTCATC